TAGTAAACAATTTTGTAATGCGGGCCAAAATTTCGAAGATCACCGGCCGTTAGCCAATCAAAATCGAGGATCATCCGTGCATTTTTTGTGCGGCATCTAGGTTTAATGGTTATATAGTTAGTAATACTCATGTTTTATTGTATATATAAAATATATATACCATATTATTAATATTTTTTAATTTTATTTAAAAAATTATAAATACTTTTCAAAATTCTAAACAACTTGCCTGAAATACAGTTTAAGGGATATAATAACAGGATAGTAAAAAAATTTTTTAAATATTGCCAATATGGTAATGGCTATATAGAGCACAATTTTTAATGCCGATACTATCTGGCTAATCCAGAAAAATTCTTACGTTATCACTTGCGTATTTTTTTTTGCGCGCAAAAAAATTTATGTGCGAAGCATTCTGTCACTGTGTACCCGGTTTGTAACAAAATTAAAATTATTGCCATATATGTAAATTAAAATCTGGGGTAATTAAGCTACTAGCTTTATTTCTTGCGATTCACCGTATCCGCTTCAAAAAAAAGTGGCTTTTATTTTTGAATCAAATTCGTAAAAGATCGTTGACTGGGAACAAGAAGCGGAATTGTCGATACATGCACCGAATATTATAGTAATCTTGGAAAATCTGTCTCCATTTGACGTCCCGTCGGAACGAAATCGTTTTTCTTTTCATCCGTTCTTTTTTATTGCAATCAACATCCGAAAATAGTTGTGCCTTATTATTAATATTAGCATTTCCGTGGATCGACATTAATCTCAATTATCTGTTATGCTTACAGTACGTAAGTACATTATTTGTAGTTTCATCGATCGGCATATAATGTGGCTTCGACGATTACATTGAAATATCTGGCTTAGTGTTTGGCTTAGAGAAATTAAATATACTCTTATCTTTGAACATAAGCCGTCAAAGATAATTACCAAAAAAACTAGTAATAGCTTACTCTTAACGTTAAAAAATTTGGTCGTAAATTTTTCGGCTGTGAAAATTCTTGTTAGCGACTCGGAATAGCTTTTTATATAATAACTTTTCATATTAAAACTTTTTACTTTGTTAAGAACATATAATTTTAATCAACTTCTGTATAATTGGCAAATAATATATTTTCCGTCCAAATTAATATAAAGATAATTGTTCCTTTTTTTATTATGCTGTATGTTCAAAAAAAAAAAAAAAGATGGTAGTAATAAACATTATGTAATAACCTAGAATCCCGGTAAAGGCCATACATAGTAAATTATATTACATAATATAAGTCTCAGCCTTTACGAGAATAAATTATTAATTAATTAACTTACTTATTTTATCCATCTCGATATCCAAAACTGAAAGTGTCTAACTTTAGTTTGGCTGTTTAAAGCCGCAAAAACGAGAAAAAAATCGGGAGGGGATGTTTGTTATTATAGGTAAATAATTAATAGTGCATGCATGGATCGTAAAGATTATTACAAGCCACCTAAGCAAATGCCTCAGTCCAAGCCTGCAGACCTCATCGATCTTAACCAAGCCTCTTTAGTTTATATTACGTAAAAAAGTGATGCTAAAACATCAACCTCACCATATATCACGACCACACGACAAGAGAGGCAAATATAATTCAAATGACATTTTTTTCTATACGAAAAGCCCCAATCAAGTTTACAAGGCTTTGCCCGAGGATATTCACCTGCCATTTGCAAAAAAGTGAAAATTATATAAACTCTGCTAATTCCTCTTTTCAAATCAAAAAAAAAGTTCACATAAATTGCTTTAGAAAATTAGAACGAATATCAAATATCAATATTCTAGTAATAAAAATAAATATAAAATGAAATCGTTTTTACAAATTTTGTTTATTTCACTTGCGATTATTTCAAGTGTCTTTGCTTTCCCTGCTGACAAAAGGCATGAAAAGCAAGAAATTCACGTTTCTGCACCAGGTGCTGGTCCGTGGGCTGTTGGTAGTACCCAATCTTGTAGTTGGTGGTCTAACAATATTAAATCTGATGGTAATTTAATAAATAGAATGAGTATTAAATTTTTACTGTCAAGTTATCGTTATTAATTATAATTTGATGTAAATAGCCAAGGTTATCGTTGAGATTAAATCAGTTTCCAGCGGCAAAGCTTGTTGGAAAGGAGAGGTAATCTATATATATATATATTTTATACGCTTTATTTTGTAGTTAATTTGTTTGCCCCTATTTCGATTTGTTCTTTTAGGCGGAATGTGGAACTGGCACTTTAGATTTCAAAATCGGTAGCGATTGGGACACCAAAGACTCCTATTACTGCTACGTCTATCTCAAGGAAGACGAAACATGCTATGGTAAAGGTGGAGAGTTTACACTTATAAGTTCATACGGATACGGATACGGAGAAAAGAAGGATTATTCATACTCTAAATCAGATGATTACTCGAAGAAAACTTATTAAGAAAAGTGAGAAATAGAGGGGTGATGTATGTATCAGATGTAAAATAGAATCAGAAGATCGAATAATTTAGAATTTTATTTATTTACCATGTATTTTTGATCGTAAATTTATGTTTATTCAGTCATTCCGTTTCTAAATAAAACAGAATTAGTATTTTAAGTATTTTGTTATAAAACCTTTTTGTTGAATGTTCAAAATACTGTATTTAAATTATTTTATTAATGTTGTGCGTCAAGCGTCAGATCAAAATTTAAATATTGAGTTTTATTAGAGTTAGGGTAAAAATTAAACAATATCGTTATATATATTAAAATATTAAAATAGCTACGTATACAAATCTTTTAATAATATAATAACTATACAGTACATAAAGTGATATATATATATTTATATGGCAAAAATAAATTAGAGACCCGTCGCCATGGCGACCCCACATATAGCAGCCAATCATATTTTAGCATTAATACAATTTTTTTTATATTTTCTTTATTTTTCATTATAAAATTTAAAAATTTTTAGCTAATTTTAATTAGCCAATAATATGCAACTTACTATATAGTTACATGCTTAATTTTGATTGGCTATTCATATAGGGTCGCCATGGCGACCCGTCGCTATAAAATAACGCCCAATAACAATACAATACTTGTATATTATGATATAATTAAAATCTATTTTAAATTAAATAAATAGAAAATTAAAAAATATATAGATACAAATTGTTTAAAGATATATAATGTATAAGCATGACCGAAGTACTATTTTATTGGTTGAAAATATGTGATCTACAGATCCAATTTTATTAAATTTGATTGGCTAGTTACAATTTTATATAAAGTTAATTTTATTAATGGATTGGATTTACCATTTTGTACTAAAAATAGTACATTTTATAAAATCTATAGAGACACCAAAACTTATCAATTCTTATAATAAAAAACCAATATATATTACTTTATTCAATACTATAAAATTTATTTTTATTTATAATATAAATATCCCAAAAAATTTATTTTAAAAAATGTTATTATTTTAAAATATAGGCATATAAATCTAGCACACTTTTAATCCTGGCTTGGTGGCTCTCTACAAAAAAAAAAAATTACAATTTATTTTAGAAAATAATTAAATAAACCTTAAACTATAAAATAAAATAAAAAATTTAGACCTTGCTATGTCATACTATATAATAAATGAATATGCCAGGACCAACAATTCGAACACATTGCACATGAAATCATATAGCTACAACAGGTAGTTGTATGATTATGACACCCCACATATCGGTGTTGTACATACTTGCTTTTAAGCTAGGATATTCCAGGGCCATTACTAAATATGATAAAGTGGTGTTCAATATTATCTGAACCTTGTTTTCGCCTTTTTTTAGTTCGATTGGTAACCAAACTACCTAAATAGTAATTAAAAATCGATCTTACTAATTGCTTCCAGAAATCAACATGTTTCAAATTTTGTTTTCTCAGGACAAATCAACAATACGTGGAGAAGCTATTGGCCTCCACAATTGAAAGGTAAAATGCAAAGATACGATTAACTGAACGTATTGATGAAATAACATTATGATAAGAAAGCGTGTTATTACGCAGATTATTGAGAATATCTATAGCCAATTTATATTCACAATACTCATCAAATAAAACAGGATGACAAAATATTACATAACCATAATCTTTGATATATCGCTTTATCTCTGATCCAAGTGTAGTCGTAGAACAATTAGTGAAAAGTACAATATTCTTGTGATTATGAATTGAACATACAGTTAAATCAACATTATTTATTATATAAACTCAACTAACAAATAACCCATATACATCCTCAAGAGCATCTGTAATATCGTTAGAGATATACTTAGACCAATAATGATATTTTTTTATTTGCAAGATAGAATAAAGCCTATAATTATTCAAAGCAGTATATGTATTTATACTACCAAACCATGAATTACCAATAACTGTTTTATCACTATGAAACCATGGTTCAGTTAGTCTTAATACAGATGCAACAGTAGGTGGGTATTGGTCTAAAAATTTTTTTTTGTGGCATATTCCGGAGGCTCTACAGGATCTAGTCTTATAATTAAATTTACCTGCATATCCGCAGTGGCTTTAAATTTACAACCGATTGGGTAGGATTTTCTTGGTATTTTTTGTTAGAAAGGACCTTTATCAACCTTATCCATCCACTAACACATTGATTTGTCAATACAAAGATAGAAACCAGGTAAAACAGCCATTGCAAGATTCTTATTAAATGCATCATGAAACTGGCACACAAAGTAAAAAGGATCATTACTTTTCAATACATTAGTTAGCTTCAAATATTTTATAATTTGTCAAAACTGTTGTTGTGGCATGTACTGCCCAAACATCAATGAAACCCTCTCTGTTTCTTGCCTAGTGGACTAGTAATCGCAAATATCAGCGTATTTTATATAGGTCATAATTGTTAAAATGCCAATAAATTTTATAAACTCCATCCAAGTTAGATTACGCCACCTTCTTTCACACTCATGCACATATCTATTCATAAACAGAATTACTATTGAAATTATAAAATCAACAGGCATGAAATGCTCAAAAAACTGTCTGGGTGTTGCATTAGTAATGTCTCTGATATGTATAACAGATACACTAGTATAGGAGTGAGAAACTTGACAGGAGTCAATGATAATGATTTTATTAGTCCATAATATACTATTTACATTACTAGAACCTATTGTTTCTTCTTCACCCTTGCTCTCACCCTTATTTTGACCACTATCACTTGATATATTTGTTTCACCAACACTTTCTTCTAATTCATCATTTATATATTGATTAGTATCTGAATTATTTGTAACAAAACTCTCAAATTTCATATGAGCTGCTGCAACTTCAATTCTTGCCTCTGGTTGCGAATTGAGAAAAATTACCCACCAATTTTTGCCTGGTGCTGATCGTATAACACTTGCTAAAAGTCTTTTGGTTTTCCATAATTCACCTAAAAGTAGGCAAGCAATGGTTTCACCCATAATAGGACCCAAAATGGAAACCTTGGCACCTTCTCTGATATTCGGTGAAATTCGTCCTATTGCAAGGTTAAAAAAAAGTTCAATATTTTTTTTTATATTTATAAAAAAAAAAAAATCTATATTCTCCAATGCATCATGAAACTG